CCTCCCGAGCCTCATGCAGGAGAGGAAGAGCATAGCTGAGTCACCAGATCCCAGCCAGCTCTGCTCCTTGGTTCTCCTTGCCCAGGCAAGCGGAGTTCACAACCAAAACACTGACCTGGCTGAGGATGGAACCAACACCCAGGAGGAGAGTTTCTCCGGGACAGAAGTGCTACCATGCCACAGAGAGTGCGTGAGACACAGCTTTGGGAGCCGGGCTCAGAGGGGGAAAGGGCTACGCAGAGACCCCTGCGCTCCCCTGAGAAGCTCAGCTCAGCCCAGGAAGATCATGAGGCTGGTGTTCTAAGGTGGGCCAGGCGGGTGGGCAAACCTTCAGAGGAGGAAAACCTAGAGAAGATGGCATTTATCCAGTGGTCTGTGTGAGCTCCTGCTTCACTGCCTACTTCTAGCAGAAAGCAATGGTCTGGATTGCTACAGGTCACTGGGGGGGTAGCCTAAGTGTCTACACTGAAATGACAGAACTCATTGCTCTGGTTAAGGGTGGTTCCTCGGTGGTTCTTAGGGTATGTCAGTATCTAGTTTATATTTGACACCATCGTTGTCGCTGGCTTTACTACTATATCCAAGGCGACATTGTTGCTTGCTTGTCAGTTGATTTTCTCTGTATGTAGTATCTGGATTGCATAGCAGTCATAAACAACACCGCGGCTCATTTCCAAAGAAGGCACTGAGCCAAAGAAGCTACAAACGCCAGCACAAAAATCAAACCAACAGGCTAGGGGTGGTGGTGCACACTTGTAATCCCAGCACTCCAGAGGCTGAAGTTGGAGGACTGCCACAAGTTCAAGGCCAGCCTGAGCTACACAGTGAGTCCATGGCCAACCTGAACTATGCAGAGAGACCTTGTCTCAAACTAAAACAAATAAACAAATAAAAAAATTGAAATATGAGAAGATGAGGCAACAAAATGCATCCAAAAACTCCCAACTCTGTCAAAGCCAATCCAGGGGGCATTGGTGGGGAGGAAACCCCCATCCAGAGGTGGAAACCCTAAGCCACACAGGAGAAATGTGTGAAGTGGTGTTCATGGAGGTAAAACAACTAAGGTGATTAGCAAATTCTAAGAAGATGTAACTAACCAGATCACGACCATAAAGAAACAAGTGATCAGCAAGACTAGAGAAGACAATAATAAAAACCTAGTGGAGCCCCAGAAAGTGATGCTAACATGAATGCCCAGCGCGGAAGAGAATGGGGATCTATACAAACCTTCCAGGCAGAAATCCAGGGATTAACAACAGGACTGAGAGTATGAGATGCAGAAGTGACCAGTGTGAGGGCATGTCAGAGCAACGATCAGTTAAGAGACACGCCTTAAAAATAAGGGAACAGGAAAAAATCAGTCCAACAGCTGCCAGAGAACTCAAAGAAGACTAATAGGAATTAATGAAAAGTCAAAAGACTGCACAAAAGGGCATAAGATACCTGTTTATAGAAGGAAGAGCAAGAGACTTTCCAGACATGGAGAAAGAATTTAACATAGAGATAAGTAAGGCATATAGAACCCTAAATAGCTATGATCAGAAAAAAAACTACTTCATGCAATGCAATAACTGTACCAGAAATCCAACACAAGAACACAATCTGGGCATGTTCCCATTGGCTTGCACCACCAGGGAAATGCATGACCATCCCATTGAGTGACTGGAACCACCAGGGGTGCATGCATGACTGTCTCATTGGACAGCTTGTATCACTGGTGATAAAATGGATCTAGTCACTTTAACTAGTCTTTCTATGGAGAAAACTAATAAAAAGTCTATAAATGGACTTAATCTAGTTAGTTGCTTGAATTTGAATAATTACCACCCAATATCAATATGGTATGTGTAATATGCATTTACAACTGCTGTATCACAGATTAGCTGTATTACAATTTTTATACCATTTTAATGTTTTCCTTGAGGAAGTGCAAGATGGTGATACTTGGTCTTCTAAATTGATTCTTTTATTTGTATTATTGTAATCCAAGACAAGATCAGGTTTTATGTTTCCTATGCTTCAAGCCATTCAGTGGGACAGTCATGCATGTACCGCAGTGGTTTAAACCAGTGAGACAACTGGATTCAAATCAGAGCCCCACAGCAGCAAGCCATACGAATTACAGCCCCATCATGATTGTGTTGAAAACCTGTTAGAGAAAAGCAATAAACCACCTGTAAAGGAAAACCTACCAGAATTACAACAGACTTCTCAAACAAACCTTATAGACAAGGAGATCTTGAAAAGAAGTGTTTTATACCCTAAGACAAAACAACTGCCAACCTAGAATGATATGTCCTGAAAAATTAACTTTCAAAACTGATAGAGAAATAAAATGCTTCTATTATAAAAGGCACCTAAAGAACTCCATCACCACAAAAATCAACATTCCCAAAATTTCTCAAGGATATCCTAGAAAGAGACAATGAAGTTAACCATGCCAAAAGTCCACTTGAATTCAGGCATCATGTAAGGTTAGCAATTAAGTAGAAGGAGAAGAAACCAAGACAGTAACAGGAAAATAATACAATGACAGGAATAAATCAATACTTATCAATCATAGCTATCCATGTGAATAGACTTAATTGGCCAAAGACACAAATTAGCAGAATGAATTGAGAAACAAATCCAATGGTATGCTGCATAAGAGAAACACATTTAACACAAAAAGAAATTCATAGACTAAAAATAAAAGACTAGAAAGCAATATTCTATGGAGTGGAAACCTGAAAACAAGGAGAAGTAGCAACCCTATCTTTCAAATTGGAATTCAAGCCAAAGCTGACCAAAAGAGACAAATAAGGACATTACATATTGGTTAACAACACTATTCAACAGGATGAAGCAACAATTATAAACATACATGCACCAAACTGTGGTGCACCCAACTTCATGAAACAAACACTAACAGACATGAATGATCAGACAGACCTCAGTGCAATTTTGGTGGGGGAGCCTCAATAACCTACTATCACAAATAGATCAACTAAAAAAAAAAAAAAAAAAAAGAAATGTAAGAGCTGAGCCAAACCTTTGAACAAATGGGCTGAATAGATACATACAGAGTGTTCTACCCAACAACAGCAGAATACACATTCTTCTCAGCATCACCTGGAACTTTCTCCAGAACAGACCACATATAACTAATTAAGCACACTCAGGTAAATGCAAAAGAATCAAAATGACCCACGCATATTATCAAACCACAATGCAATGAAACTAGAAATGAATAGCAAAAAAACACCACAGAAGCCATGCAAATTTATGGAAATTAAACAACACATTCTTGCATGATTTATGGGTCACAGTGGAAATGAAGAAATACAACAGCTCCTAGGATTAAATGATACAGTACAATATATCAGAATTTATGGGATACAATGAAAGAAGACCTTGAAGTTTATAGCTTAGAATGCTCACACCAGGAAAACAGAATGAGCCCAAATAAATAACCTAATGATGCATCTCAAAGTCCCAGAAAAGTGAGAACAACCCAAATCCAGAGCTGTATGAAGGAGGAAATTATAAAGATCCATGAAGACATCAATGAAATGGAGACTAAAAAAAAAAAAAAGTATATATATACATAAAGGATCAATGAATTAAAGAGCTGGTTCTTAGGAAAAAAATAAACAAAATGGACAAACCCTTAGCCAATAAATAAATAAATAAATGGAAAGAAAAGATACAAGTCAATGCAATTAGAAATGAAAAAGGTGAAATCACAGTGGACACTGCCAAAATCTAGAAATTTATTAGCAACAACTTCACAAACCTATATGCCAAGAAATCAGAGAGCTCAGAGGAAATGGAGAGCTCCCTAGATATGTAGGAATTAACAAAACTGAACCTTAAACACTTAAAAAACATGAATAATCCAATAACAGGCAATAATATTAAACCAGTAATTAAAAAGCTACCCACTAATAAAAGCCCAAGATTTGATTGACTCACTGCCAAATTCTACAAGAATTTCAGGGAATATCTAACACCAGTACTCCTCAAATTAATGAAATCAAGAAAGAAAGAGTACTCCCAAAATCATTGTTGGAAGCTACCATTACCGTGATCCCCAAACCAGACAAGGATCCAATCAAAAAAAAAGAAGAGAAAGAACTATAGGCCAATATCTCTAATGAACATAGATGCAAAACTCCTCAGTAAGGTACTGGCAAACAGAATGCAGCAAATCATAAAAAAAAAAAAAAAACCTTACACCATTACCCCATGGACACAACATATCCAAATCAATAAATGCAGTCCATCACATAAACAGAAGCAAGGACAAAAGTCATATGATCCTCTCAAAAGACACAGAAAAGGCCTTTGACAAAATCCAACATCCATTCATGATAAAAACCCTGAAGAAAATAGGTACAAAAGAACCTTATCTCAACCTGATAAAGCCATTTATGACAAAGCTACTGCCAACATCACGCTCAATGGAGGAAAACTGAAAGCTTTTTCTCTAAAATCAGGAACAAGACAAGGATTCCCATTATTTCCACTCCTGTTCAACGTAGTCCTCAAAAGGCAGCCAGAGCAATCAGGCAAGAGAAAGAACTAAAAAGGATCTATGCGCATAGGACAGGATGAAGTCAAAGTATCATGATTTGCAGATGACATAATCTGCAGTTGGACTCAGGCAGGCAAATGGAGCCCGGGCCATTCACCATTGGGGCCTTAGTGCTTAGGGTCCTACACTGAAGACCGTGCCCAGAACAAGGAATACAGTGAGTGGGTCTGCATGTTACAGGAAGGTGACTTCTAGGTCACACACTCAAGTGTTGACAGGCATTACATGTGGGGAAGGAAGGAGAAGTGAAAATAAGCCAAGGGAGATTTTCATGGTAGATTGCACTACTCTTCTGAAGATGGTGACCGTGGTGTGTGTGTGTGTGTGTGTGTGTGTGTGTGTGCGCGCACACACACACACACATGCACTGTCCAGTCTACTTAGAGCAGCCACTCCCAAATGAGCTCATCAAAAAACATCTGACCTTCTGGGGAAGCCGGTCTACTCCCGTTTCCTTTGTCCACGACCTTGCCTCTGGGCTTCGTTGGATCCTTCTTTTTTTCTAAATCTTTAACTGAAAAAAAGAGTAGACATACAGCAGCGTGTTATGTTAATGTCTGAAAGGAGACATCCAGGGAGTTGCACTAAAACCCCTGCAAACTCTGAAAGTATCAGCGTAAATGAGCTCCACCACACACACTCACCCCCCAACGTTAGAACGGCTGTTTTTAGTTTCTCGGTCCCTGTGTGTAGTAGAGGATCACGGTCCCGTGAGGAGTCGGTGTGTGTACACCACATACACCCTCATCCCTTTCTCCACCCCCTCCCCACCTCCCTCATCCCTGGATCCCTTTCTTTTAACTGCTATTTTTATTTTCTCAACGAACTTGGAAAGGTCTTCTTAAAGATTTTGGTTGTGTATTCGCTATGGACAGATGTATCAAATAAATTTAATCCTTCAGACTGGCTGTAAAATGGGCCTGGTCATCCCCATCTGGTGCACAAAGGAATGAAAAACAAGAAAGCGTGGACGTGTCTCACACAGCCAGTCAGTGCTGGCCTGGGCGTCAAGCCACATCTTCGTGTCTCTAGGCCTAGCCTGTGCGCTTGGTCCCCGTTCTACAAAGGTATCAGCCACAGACACCCTCCTTCGGAGTTGCTCTATCTGCAACAGCGCGGAGGAACCCCGCAAATGTCCTTTCAGACTTAAAATACATGGTTCTCTGTTAATACATGGGGATCTCTCCCACTTTAATAAGGAAATATCCAGAGACTAAGAAGACGGTTGGCTGTCTCACAGGTCGTCCCAGCCCACACCATTAGGTCAACTTCGTGCTGCGTTCTGTGCTCCAAACCCTGCAGCAGCCTCTCCGCGGCGCTCGGCAGCTTAAGCTCATGGAGGCCTGCGAGATCAATGCCAACTGGCAAGCCGCTGCACAGATAAGATGCCCCATGAGAACGCAGAAGCCGGCCAGCGGAGAGCTAGTTCCTCTCCGCATTACATCAGTTCACAGGGATCACAGCGCTCCCGAAGGGAAAAGCTGTGTAGGAGAAGCAATGGTTTCCTTGCTGTCTGCTGCAGGGTGTGGACCCATTCATATCTCTCTGTCTGTCTCTCTCTCTCTCCCTCTCTCCCTCTCTACCGGCTTCCACCTCTTTGCTGAAAGGGTTTGATGTTCGAAGCTTACCAAGCGCAAAGCACTCTAATTCTATTATTCCTGTCTCTAACAACCTTCTGTGGCTTTCTGGTGCTCAGAGATTAAATTCCAAGCTATCACGGCAGCAACAACAGCAGCAAGGCCCTTCTAGGCCCACTGACCTGATTTGTTACATATTCTTCAGCTTCCCCATAAGCACTTTGGAGCACTTCTTTTTCAGACAGGATTTTACTATGTGATCCAGGCTGACCTTGAACTCACTGTGTAGCCCAGGCTGGCCTCGAACTTGCAGTGATCCTCTTGCCTCAGCCTCCCCTTTGCTGGGATTACAGGAGTGCACCTATCTCACCCAGCTTTGGAGCACCCATTTTTTAAAAATATTTTTTTCTCACTTTTTACAGAGACATCACCCTGCTTTTTCCCCTATTCCTCTAACCCTCCTGTATATTCTCATGTTTTGGATCCCTTTTCTGCTTTCATTCCTGAGACATGACTGTATACTAAAGTTGTCTTGCATTTCCACATACCCTGCCTGTGATTTCATCAGCTTACACTTTAGGTTCCCACCCTCCAGGGATAATTTCCACAGTGGCAGCTTCAACCCCACACATGCAGGCACGGAGTGGAGTCCCAGGGTGCTTACATTTTCTAAGAAAAAAGTCTGCAACTTTCATAGGAGAAAGAGTGTGCTGAGCAAGTTTCACAGGGGGAATAGATTTAGAAAGGAATAACAACTTAGGAGGCAGAGCTTCAGAGAAACGTCACTGGCAAAGTGATGTGGACGGCAGACTGTAGAGATGGGCAGATTTTCCAGGCAGGAATCAGAAAAGCATCACTGCCCAAAGGAAAAGTGGACAGCTGAAAAGAACATTTGCTAGAATAAACCATAAGAGCAATTCATAGATGAATAAGGAAAAACAGCAGTCCTTTCCAAAGGGTCACACAGAAAATGTAACAGCTGTGTTACGCAAAGCTCTTACCTTCTCCATGAGGGGCAAACTCAGTTAGAAACAGACTGTCACAGACAAAGTGACCTTGATCACAGCAGTGTGGACCGTGTCGTCCTCTACGCTGGTTACATCAGTCCACACAGTACTCACCACATGCCTTCACCTCCACCCGAAAATGGGGAAACCAAGGCAGGAAAGGCTGGATTTGCTTGTGGTGTGTGCTGCCTCGTAATATGCAGCAGATCAGGCCTGCTGTTCTGGCTTGTATCTGTCCCCCAAAGCCTCATGCGCTCACGGGTGGGACTTTGGTGAGTGACTGGACCGTGGGTGTGTGACAGTAGATTAGTCCACTGCTGGGTGTAGAGCTGGGTGTGATGTTGGGAGGAAGGACGGGTCACTGTGGGCCCAACCTGGAAGGATATATATGATGGCTGTCTGCTTCCTGCCTGCCCTGCCATGGACTGTTCCTCCCTGCCAGGCCGCCCTGCCTTGGAAGCCGACTATGAACTGAAACCTCTACAAACTGTGAGCTGAAATAAATCTCCTACATCCTCATTGTCCTGGATCCAACTCTGAAAATTTTCCAGGGCAACAAGGCAAGTTTTTTGCTCCTTCTCACAAGAAGCAAGAATATAACTGAAATGCAAATGGAAAATAAAAGAAAGCCATGCAAGTGAAGTTATTTTCATTTCATTCTTAGAGACCGTTATCTGAGTAGAACTTACTCCTCTACTCTGCCAATAAAAACAACGTAGCTTAGGAAAACGAGATGCTTACATGTAACTTATCTCGCCAGCCCACTGGACAGTTTTCCTGATTCTCCCAGGGAGCTAAGCAAGCTGAGGACAAATGAATTTTTTCTCAAGTGCCTTGAACACTAGCTACTGAGAAAAGGTTTTTGTTGGCTCATGTTTCTCTGCTGTTCAGCTGGCAGAATACGTGAACTAATCAATCATAAAATTGTCAGGCTTGTGTGAAATGAATCATTTTACTGTCTCTCTCCCAATGTTTTCATAGACCTTGAGAAAAGTTCTTTCTGTCACCTATACCTTTGTAAAGGTGCACGAGGCCAGCAGCTCAAGTGCCAGTAGAGGGGAGAGGATTGGCTTATGCTGAAAATAACATAAAAACCTTCTCCAGAGCATCAGACATGAGTCTAAAAGATTTCCTGCATATTCTTTCTTTCTTTCTTTCTTTCTTTCATTTTTGAGAGAAGGTCTCACTATGTAGTTCAGGCAGGTTTTGAATTCACTATGTAGCCCAGGCTGGCCTTGAACTCATGCCAGTCATCCTGCCTCAGCCTCCCAGGTGCTAGGATTACAGGCATGCACCACACCCAGCATACTGTAAAGTCCTAACAGCTGCGTGTCCTGCTGACAGGTCAATTCACTAAATGTCTTTGTTCAGAAGTTTGAAGAGGTAGCAACTTAACAAAGCTGTATTTGGTTTGGTTTTAACAGAGTCACAAATATGTCTCCCAAAACATTACTCAGGAGGGAAGACAGAGGGGAAGTAGGTGTAAAAAATCCAGGCAGAGCACACTACACAGAGCTCCAGAATCCCAGGCCATTTACCCTTGTGGAGTAATCCCATGGCAGGATGGAAAAAGCTTAAATTATGAAAATAATCTCTTTGAAATAACGTCTGTGATTTGCTGCACCAGAATAAGGACAGTGGTTGTGGCGCTGGGGGTGAAACTGTCCCTAACGCTGCCCGCGGGACCCTTGGGTCCGTGAGGCTCTTCCGCTGATCTTTGTAGCATCATGGGTTAACTTGCCCTTGACCCTAAGCTAGGTCCTAGAAGGAGTCTATTTTAGCACTGCAGGCCTGACGGGTAAGCAGGACAGGGTTATTCGCCCCAACAACGCGAACGCGTTTGTCCCCGTGGGAGAGGTCGCCTCGCGGAGGAGGGCCTGGGTCCCTGGGACGCGCGGTCCGCCTGGCAAGGGTTGGTCGCAGCACGGGGCTGGGAGCGCTCCGCACCGCACAGGCGCGCGGCCGCATCACTTTAATGAATGAATCGGCGCTTCCAAGAGGCGGAAGAGTCGGGGCCTGTGAGGGTCGATTTTAAACTCGATGCTGGGAAAAGCTTCCTCGCGGAGCGGTGCAGACGCGGCCTGGACTCTTCAGAGCTTTCTCCCAGCTCAGAAGGCCCCTGCACGCCCACGTGTGCGCAGCTTCGCTTGTCATGGAAACTGCTGCCTAATGGGTCCTTAACAAATGTCCCTTGATGGCGTCTTGGAAAGTGTTAATGCCTGCCGGCGAGGTTGTTTCAGCAAAGACTGGCGGACACCTTCTTCGGTGCTGTAGAAGAGAGAGGCACCGTCCACTGCGGTTTTGCATATTTATGGGGCACCAGGCGTGCGACATGCAGTCGTGATACGCGGAGAAAGGAAAGTCTCTGCACACATTTTGCCGACTGGTGAGTGACACAGTGGTGTAAGAGGCGATCACAGCGGGCAGGGTTGTCCCACCCGAGTGGGACTCTGCGTACTAAAAAGCACAGGGACGGTGTCTGGTGATAGGTCGGAGACCGTCAGGGCTTTGAGAACGAAAACATAAAGACTAATAGGAACACAAGAAAGGAGGGCAGGGAAGGGCAGACACAGGAGGGGTTCTGGAGAGCCGGAACAGAAGCTAAGAAAAATCTGCAAATCTAAACAAGACACAGTGGCCCAAACCCCTTAGAGTGTGTATCAACACTCCACCTCACGCTGGGGCCTTGCAGAGCTCACACTCACTTCGGAACTGGCCCTGCGCCGGCTTGCTCTCCTTGTCCTTGTGGTAGGCAATAATTTGAACCGTGTAGTTCTGCTCCGGCATAAGACCTTGAATAATGGCTTTCGTTGCAGTGCTTTGCAGATTCAGTTGATTGGTTTTTCCTCCTGTAATAAAACAGAAAAGGAAATCAGATCTGAGAAATACAGTGAACTAGCTGGGTATGGTGGCACACACCCCCGGGAGGCTGAAGCAGGAGGATCTCTGTGAGCTCAAGCCCAGCCTGGGCTACAAAGTGAGACCCTATCTGAAAACAACAACAAAGAGAAATATAGTTAACTGTGCACATTGAGAAGCACTTTTAACCAGCCATCAAGACTTTAAAAGGCAAAACCTTTTAAAAATGTCCTTATTGTACTACTGACAGTGTATAGCATAATACTTTGATGTACAGGGAAAGAGAAAGACGTATAAAAACACATGCCAGTGTGTATAGCACTTAATTGTAACATAATTTTCCTTCTTGTTTTCAGCTGTGTTTCTTTTGCACTACATAATTTAGGGGTTGTGTAAATTAGATAAAAGCACCTTCACAAAAATCTTTCATCATGAAGCACTGCTACTTCTATACTCAGGAGAAAGCACCTCACAAGCTAGCACACATTCAGGCCGTCCCTGAACATCAGATACACGCTCTGAGGAAGAGAATTCCACTTCATAGAGTAGGAGAGATACGTGCAGGCTGAATGCAAGGGTCCATGCGGGAGCCCTCCGTGTGGCCTCCTTAAAGTAATGCAGCTGGGCATGGTGGCACACACCTGTGATCTTAGCACTCAGGAGGCTGAGGCAGGAAGATCACCATGAGTTTGAGGCTAGTTTGGGCAACATAGTGAGTTCAAGGCCAGCCTACACTACATAGGGAGAGAGAGTCTCAAAAAAGTAAGTAAAATAAAATTAAATTAAAATAAAGTAATGCAATGTGTCCTTGAAACACAAGCTACTCAGTTATGTTCAATCTGGCCCTTACGGGTACAAGGTGCTTAAGGAACCATGCTGTGCCTGGTTAGCTTGAGTCATAAAAAGATGTCAAAGCCCCATGATCTCGCTGTCAAATTAGACTGACCCCTAAGGCTCTCCTGAAGGTGCTCCTGATTATATGCACAGGTTCTTTGCAGAACTCCAAACACGCCTTTCTTCTCTAACTTCTGGCAATCTGAGAAAAGTGAAATTATTTTAAAATTCCTGTCCTCTTAGCAGTCACAGAAAAGGGGGTCTGAAACTGACAGAATTAATCAAATATAACAGGTTGTCCTTTAATCATATTGTAATAAAACTAATGTTAGAGTTTTTTTGCTGCTATTATCAATGTCACCCCCCCACACTAGGAGAAAAACAGCCTTTCACTTGCTGGAGTGCATATCCTTAAATTTGCTTGTACCCAAGATGTCCAATCTGCTTCACAAACTTCTTATGCCATTTAAAACTTATCTGCTATAAAGGGCAACAAGCAAATATTTCATACTGTGTGCTTCCCTTTTAAAACTTCCTTAGAAAACTCCTTACTTTAGAATCTCACTTTAAGAGGCATGGAGTTCTTACCTTATTGAAGGCTTGGGGAATCTTGCAATAAAAAAGCCTAAAACTCATCTGAACCACCATTTCTCAAATTTATTTGACTATTAAATCATCTGGTGGCAGAATAGCTGTTAACAGCCTGCAAAAGGCCCTGGGACTTTTCTCTGAGAAAAACTAGCATAAATAATGTTTGGAGCATGCCTCATGGTACTAAAACATCTACAAACATCTTTGTGGCTAGAGGTGTTGATTGCACTTTTTATTTACCATGTATAATATACCAGAGGGTAAAGATGGTTTAGTTGCCTTGGCCACTGCAATAGAGACACGGGGCAAATAAACCCAATATTCACCATGAGATAATTTGCTCTTGCCCTCAATTTTTATCTGTCACTGGAACTGGCCATTTCCTTTTGGGGTGTGCTACCTTGGGGGGTGGAAGTACCCGGTTGAGGCCTGGCCCAGAAGCCTCCAAGTCACTACTAAGATTCTGTGATTCCTTGGGTCCTTAAAAGTTTGGTATTAGCAGCAATTAATCAGGAAATGTTAAAGTACTGACCAACTAGAAGAAAAAAATGACTTTTCAAGATTCAATATAGGGAATTCTCACAGGTACCACAAGTTAGTAACTTGTATTTTGACCTCTAGAACCATAATGATGTTTAGGAATTGCTTAAATTTAAATTTTCCATGATACCTTATTTTTAAAAAACAATCAAAACCAGACATGTTGGTGCACACCTGTAATCCCAGCACTTAGGAGGTTGATGCAGGAGGGTTGCCACAAGTTCAAAGCCAACCTGGACTACACAGTGAGTTTAAGACCAGCCTGACCTACATAGTGACACCCTGCCTGAAAAAGCTAGAAGAAAGCCATTAATTAAGTAAAATAAAAGAAATATCCTCTTTAGTGACCATGCCAGAAGCCAGCCCTTTCATCTGCTTATGTTATTTGAGATTTTAAATCAAATCCTGGGTAAGATGTCCGCATTCATGAGCAACAGAACTTCTCTTCTCATGAAATCAGTTGGGGAAAGATTTCCACCTGAAGTCCGGCTTCATATAGTTGTATCTATCACCAATGAGGAGAAAAAGTTATTGTATGGATAATTACAAAGAGTTATTTGTGTAGATAGGGATCACAGGAAAGTGCTATCATTGAGCATTTATTTTGTGATTATGTAGAAGTGGGTCTCAAGAGACTCCTAAAAACACCTGGACCGAGGTGCAGGTGAGATTCACCCAGCCTTCACCCTGAGGCAGTCTCTCCTCTCAGCGGTCACAGCTACTCCTTAGTTCACCTGCAGCTCTTACTACAGCGCAGGCGCTGACTCGGGTCTCGGAGATGAACGCTAGCAGCTTGCATTTCTACCGGGCCTTCCAGCCAAGTCAGGCCGACAGAGCTGAGCTCCAGAAAGCTGGTTTCCAATTCCATGCTGGTCTGCGTCACGCCCATGTAAGTCCTAACGTGTGCTTGGTTTATTATGTTAGTATAATGGACCCACAAATAGGAAAGAGAAAAACTCAGTACAAATCTAATTAAAATGTTTTGTGATAGTGGGGATTTAGCCCAGAGGCACTCTATCACTGACCTGAACCTCTAGCCCTTTCCGCTTTATTTTCTTTTTATGTTGAGAGAGGTTCTCACGGAGTTACCCAGATTGAACTCAAACTTTCGATCCTCCTGCCTCAGCCTCTTCAGTGGCTGGGAGCACAAGGCATCCACCGCACCCAGCCAATTAGAATCCTTTTTACATAACTACTTTATATGAATGGTCAATAAATTTGTTCAACTGATATTTTTCCTGTTTTGATATAGCACTATTTTCACAATGTCTACTTAACCTTTTAAGTTTAGGGTTTAACTGCTGAATAATATTTATCGAGTTAGTTAATTATAATATATTCAAATAGTCACAGCTATTGAACACCTGGGTGTATTACATTACTTTATATGTAGAGGAACCAAAAGCATTTATTTCATGCTGAGGAGAGGTAGTAAGACTTTGTAACAGTCTGGAAATTTCACCTGAAGGGAATACACTGAATCCTAGTCACTCTGTGTAAGTTGTAAAACATGATCTCCTCTCTGAGAAGCTAAGACTTCAAGCCCAAAAGAGTGAATAAAACAAGGGGCTGGGGATATAGCTCAGTGGAACAGTGCCTGCCTGGCAAGTGCAAGGTCATGAGTTTGATTCCAAGTATCAGGAAAAAAAAAAAAAAAAGCTTTCAAATGATCCTAAAGCTATTCTTGGCACTACACACCTTTAATTACCTATGTATGAAAAGTTGCTATCTGTTATGGTTTGTGTCTGGATGTCCCCCCAAACCCTCATGCAGCCACAAGGTTTTTCAGAGGTGGCTGAATCTCGAGTGTGTGATTGATTTGTAGTGCAGTACTGGGACTAAGGGTGCTGGGATTAAGGGTGAGTGATTGCTGGTCAATCCACTGGTTGGATGGCACCGCTCTAATCTCAGTAGACTGGATACAAGACAAGGAGCAGGAAGCTCTTCCTCCCTCTCTCTCTCTCCCTCTCTCTCTGTCTCTGTCTCTGCCTCTGTCTCTGTCTCTGCCTCTGGCTCTGTCTCTGTCTCTCTCCCTCTCTAATTGCTTTTGCTGTCTTCCACCCATAAATAGGAACAGTTGCCCCTGTGGCAGGCCGCCCTGCCTTGGAGCCAGCTGATTATGGACTGAAACCTCCACAAACTGTGAGTTAAATCAACCTTTCCTTCCTTAATTTTGGGTGTTGGGTATTTTGTCTCAACAACAAAAGAGAAGTAACTAAGACACTAAGGTTCTAGAAAAGAGTGTTGTTACCTGAAGCTGGAGTCACGAGAAGTTTGTAGCCACCAAACTTCCCCCTGGGAGCTTTCCATGAGATCTGAATGCTGTCCTGAGACAGCACGTTGTATCTGAGCCTCGTGGGGGGGGACACTGAAAAGAAAACACAGAAGTGGTTTTAGAATGGAAGCATTTAAACTGCACTTGCTAAGCTGAAAGGTCAAAGTAACATAATTGAAATACACAAAACTGCCAGGTGTAGTGGCACACTCCTGTAATCCCAGCACTCAGGAGGCTGAGGCAGGAGGATCACTTTGAGTTCGAGGCCAGTTTGGGCTACAAAGTGAGTTCAAGGCCAGCCTGAACTCCATAGCGAAACCCTGTCTCAAAATAAAATAAAATCAAATAACTTAATCAGCCTCAAACTATATTCTTTCTACAGTGCCATCACTGAATTGATCAGCTCACAAAATAAGACAAAAGTATAAGAATTTGGTTTTCACCCAAGGACACCCATTTGCCCAATTGTACCGACCTTTGACAAGGAAATGACAGGGTGTTAGGAGGCACCTCTGTAACGTTATTTGATAATCAAAGCCAACCTTGTGAACTGCTTTTATTAGCTACAAGAGTGAATTTTTCCACTTGGCACATGGAAGCTTTTATGACCTACTCTCCCGGGACCACGGCCCATGGGATTTTCACTGTGGGAACCCAGGAGTTGTGGTGCTATCTGAAAAGAGTGTGACAGGCCTATTATAGTAACAGGACGTCCATGCAGAAACATCTGAGAGAGAGGTGGCAGAGACACTGAGGAGCAGACTGAGGACGCTCCAAGGCCCGCTGGTGTACAGTGCCACGTTCATCGCACACGTCACCACGCGGCCCGGAGGGGTCTTTTCTGACAGATCATGAACACGTAAATCTCCTTCCTCTTGTACATGTCATCCAAACTTTAAATCCCATTTTGGGCTCCCTCTGTGACGGCGGCAGAAGTGTTCTAGAAGAAGTACGTTAGTCAGGTTTTTATTATGTAACGTCTAGGTTCGCGGGCACAAAGGAAAGTCAGTGACTGAGGGAGGCTGGGCTCACTTCCGCTGCCCGCCCTGAGCGTCCCCTCGCTCCGGGCACCAGCGCGGGGGACAGAGGACTGCCCCGGTCAGCGGGTAAACACTATGGCGCGTGGACATCCATCTGCTGCCGGTTTGGTCACTGTTTAGCTGCATAACCTTGAGCAAGTGATTATTTTCTTTCCAAAGCTGCAGTTTCCTTATTTTTACAAAAGAAACTTGCAATCCTTTCTGCAAAGAAGCGATACAATGTCAAATGGGAAAACGGACAGAAGGTGTTGTGGGTGGGCGTAAAGAGTAAAGATGTATTGCCCTTCTCCCTCATTTCATCTAAGTTCAGCTCCTCTAAATCCTGGTGAAGATACACTGCTACCCCGATTTCATGGGTAAAGGAATGAAGGAATGGCGAAAAGACTTGCTCACGTTCACCAGCTAATTTGCATTTCTGTAATGGCCAGAGATGTCTTTGTTGGCCATTTGTGCTTCAGTGTGGAGACGCCTCAAAAGACTAAAACTAGAAATGCCATTTGGCCCAGCTATTTCCCTTCTAGGAATCTTCCTGAAAGAGTTACAGACATCCTATGACAGGGATCCATGCAGTGCCGTGTTGACAGTGGCACAATTTATAACACCGGACTCTCGGAAGCGGCCATGGAAGCAGCAGATGAGGAGGTAAAGAGCCTGTGGTGCTCACACACAGTGGAGTACTACACTGCCATAAAGAAGGATAAACTCGGGTCATGCATAGGAAAGTGGATGCCTTGAGACCATCATGTTAAGCAAAATAAATCAGACACAAGCTTCTCTTACGTGAGAAACTCAAAGTATAAATAAAGTAAAGGACAAAATAAAAGATAGTAGGACACAGAGACAGATCTTTCAAATGGCAAGAGGGGGAAGGGAGGTAAAAAGAATGAAGACGTGTTATGCACACGCACCAGCTCCCCACAAGGAGTGTAAACATCACCACGGCAAACACGCACAGGGCTAGTACGATAACAATTAAGAAGGGAAGGAGATCCTTGTGAAGAAGTAACCCTCCTCCGAGCGAGCGGGATGATGATTGACCGCTCCACAAATCCCCGCTGCTCCGGAATCCATGCGCGGGAAGCCGTTCTTCAGAACGTGTCTCTTTCTAGACATCCTTCCCCACCTCAGCACACACAATGCTAGTCGCACCCAACAGAAGCATCAGCTCCCGGCTTCAGCCTGACACAGGTGGAAAGACTTGTCACATTCCTGCAGCTAGTGGGAAAGCAGAAAAACACAGCCAGGCATGGTGGTGCACGCCTGTCACCCCAGCACTCGGGAGGCTGAGGCAGTAGGATCGCTGCAAGTTCAAGGCCAGCCTGGGCTGCATAGTGAGTTCAAGGCCAGCCTGAACTGCACAGCGAGACTCTGTCTCAAAAAAAAAAAAAAAAAAAAAAAAAAATTATCCTAAGGACGACAGTTTTCAAAGAGAAGCAGAAGGTGGCTAGCTCCCTCCGGAAGTAGCAAGGACAGGAAGGACCACCCGGAGAACCCAGAGCAGCGGTGATATCCAGCGCGGATTTGCTCAAGGAAACAAAGTGCAAGGCAAATATGACCACCACGTCCAGCACCACGAACTCTCCATTAGCTCACAAACGACTTCTGAGACTACAGCCGCAGTGCAGCTGCTGAGCAGGGCCCCTGGGAGGGTTGGTTGATCACATCAGCTTCAGCGAGAGAGGCTCAGCTAAACGGGCTCAGCAACTCCACACCCTGGGCTGCGGAAGACAGCGAGGGCGGCTCACCGCGTGGACGGTACGAGGGGGACAGGAGGAGGGACGCATCTGCTTCTGCTCTTCGGGGGGCTCTGGTCTTCGCCTTCAGCTTGGACGTGGTCTCCTGGCTTCCAGTGCAGACTGTCCAGCGTCCAGCGCAGACCCTTCAGCCTTCCGGCGTAGATTCTTCAGTGTCCCGTCACAGACCCATGGCCTCCTGATGCGACTCACACGGACACTGCAGTGAGCTCCAGACCTTGGACTGAACCCTTCAGCCTCCAGTGTGCAGACACCCTCTGCAAGCTTTCTGATCCGCCTCTGGCTGCCCATCACAAGCCGATCTTGTAATTCCTCATACATGTGTGTATCTTGTGTTATATCTGTTTCTCTCATAAGCGCTGGCTGATACAACTACTGTGACCTTTCATGAACGGATCCTATCAGTGGTCTCTATAAGCACAAACACCTTCACAGTCACTGAAAGAAAATCTTGGTTAAATGCAAAGTTTTAAGTCTTAAATTAACCTTTAAGTTTTTGCCTTTGGGGAAGAACACTGAAAAGACGTGCTGGTTAAATAGTTAAAGGAGAAAGGGCAGGAAGTCACAGCTGTGGACCTCAAAGCATTTTTCCCCTGGCTGGACCTGGTGGTGCACGCCTGTGATCCCAGCACTCAGGAGGCTGAGGCAGGAGGGTTGCTGTGAGTTTGAGGTCAGCCTGGACTGCATAGTGAGTTCAAAGCCAGCCTGTACTACATAGCAAGACCCTGCCTCCAATCAATCAATCAATCAATCAATCAATAGAAGCCTTTTCCCCTGCTTGAGACTTGAGCCAGAGTAAGGCAGCAAAACCAACAAGAACAGTGTAAGTGTGGCAGAGAAATAACTGCTCTGATCTTGCAGCACAAACACGCGTGTTCAGCACAAGGCCCGTGATTGCACTTTTTGCGAGTGCGTCTGCTCCACACACTGCACCGCAGCCCGGGGAGGAATCACACGAACTTGACTCCAGAGTTAACGTGTGTCAGCGCGAATCCTGACCTTTTCCAAAGCCCAGTCAGGCGTGAGTCTGACTGCTGGCACGCACCCAGATGGGCTCTCTGTGGGAGCCGGGCCGTAGGGCGGTGGAGGGAGGCCTGCTGTCCGCGCCCTGCCGTCCGGGGCTGCACCCAGAGCAGAACGTTGCCTCCACGGCCCTGCGTCTCACTTCGACCACCCCACAGGCAGACACACGTTAATGTCCTCCCGCAGAAGCCTCTCTGGCTGCCGGTTTCCTAGTTTCCTCCTCCTTTCTTCTCCCCCTCCTCTGTTTCCGTGTGTGTGTGTGTGTGTGTGTGTGTGTGTGTGTGTTTATTTTTGTTTTCGTTTGTTTTTGTTTTTGTTTTGAGACAGGGTCTTGCTATGTAGCCCAGGCTGTCCTCAAACTCATGGCAATCCTCCTGCCTCAGCCTCCCGGATGCTGGGATTACAAGCATGCGCCACCACAGCCGGTGGAAAGACTTATTTCTGACGCAGTATTCTCCTCCATTTGTGGAAACCGCTTGCTGCCCAGGGACGCAGTCGCAGACAACTTGCACCCTTCACCACCCGTTGTCACGCCCCCCTCCTCTACCCAGCAGCAGCCTGGTTTGCTCTGGGTAGAACCACCCACCTCCCCTGCAGCAGCGGGCTGCATCATCAGGGCTGCGCGCCCTGACTGAGAAGCGGAAGGACCCTCCTGGGCTGCGCGACTGCCGGAAGCTGCTGCCTGCGGCTTCATTTGGACGCGTGCTCTGTGGACCATGTGCGCTGATCCTTTGCAAACCCCGGAGGCCGCTAGTTGCCAGTCCTTTTCCGGCTTGGTTATCTAATTTTTATTTTGGTTATGTGAGCTGCTGCAGTACTAACAAGCACGTTTCCGCTGAAGTTGACCAGAGAAAGCTCCTTTCATGTGCAGCTCCGGACCCCTCCGTGGCGAAGTGCAGCAGAGCTCACACACGAGCATCTCCCTCCTTACACGTGGTCTGGAGAGCTAACAGGGGGTGGGCGGGGGGCAGGGGGCGCACAACCCATGCATTTGCTTTCAAAGATCTCTACTTAGCAGAAAAAAATGTACTTTTCTAAGTGATCTACAAGAACAAAACAAGCCCAGAACATCTTAGCTTCTTATGCCCCTTATTTTTCATTTAAATGCATAACCCAGATGTTTTGTAAAGAGAGTGATTGAATAATTTTAGCTTTAAATTTTTTGTTATTTTCAAGAGAATAATAAGAAAAGAACAATAGCAAACTACCAACAACATAGACAAAAACAAAACAAAGCAAAAATAATAAAAATGATACAGGGTTTCAGAACAAAATG